ACGCATCCTTGCTAATTCAAGACAACCAACAGACAGTACTCATGCTCTGGTCATCTCCCACCTGGACTACTGCAATATCCCCTATGTGAGGCTCTCCTTGAAGATAATCCAGAAACTGCAGCTGGTGCAGATGTGATCAGCTTTGGGTGCTTTGAGAATTATGTGTGTAACACTACTGCTGTGCGAGCTGCATTGGGTGTGGTTTGCTCTCAGGTCCAATTCAAGGTGTTGATTATCACCTTTAAGACCCTTCTTGGCATAGGACGCCGTTACCCGAGGAACTGACTTATTACAATCACATTAACCTGAACCACCTGGTTTGAGGGTATGCTACAAGCTCCATAGGTAAAGAATTTTGACTGGCTGAGTCTAAGAAAAGAACTTTCTTGATTTTCAGATGACACCAAGCCAGGAGGAATTGCTAACACTTTAGAAGATAGACTACAGATCTTGACAGATTGAGCACTGGTTCGTGTCCAACAAAATGTAGTTCAAGTGTGAGAAAAATAAGGTCCTGCACTTAGACAGGAAAAACCAAATGCATAGGTACAGAATGGGTAATACCTGGCTCAACAGTGGTAAATAGCTGTCCTAATGAACCACCACTTAAGTTTGAGCCAGCAATGTGCTGCAGCTGCTAAAAATGCCAGCGAAATCCTGGGCGTCAACAGAGGTATAGCATCAAGTTTGGAGAAGTTATAATACCACTTTATACTGTGCTAGTAAATACCGCATATAGTTCTGTTCACCATGATGCAAACGAAATGATGTTGAGACCCTAGAAAGTGGACAGAGAAGAGCCACATAGATGATGAAGGGCCTGGAGGCTAACTTGTATCATGAATGGTTGAGGGAGCTAGGCATGTCTAGCCTATTGAAGGAAATGGTTAGGGGGAACAAAACTGTATTCCAGTACTTGAGGGGCTGTCACAGAGAAGAGGGGATTGATTTGTTCTCCAAAGCATAAGGGGTAGGGCAAGAAGTAATGGGTGGAAGCTTGTTAAAGAATGATTGAATCTAGAAGTAAGGAGAATTTTTTTAGAGAATAAGTAATGAATAGTTCACTTTCTGGATGAGTGGGTGCTCAATCACTGGAAGTTTTCAAAAATAGATTGGACAACCATTTCACCACAATGGTGTATGCTCATGCCTTGAGCAGGGGGTTAGACTAGAAGATCCCCAAGTTCCCTTACAGTCCTATGATTCTATGTTCTAGATCATTAATCTAGAACAGAAGATAATAGATTTGTGTATGGTGAAATATGACTTTGGATCAGCATTGAGTGTGCAACAGGTAATTACAGTGTGAAGACAATGACTGGCTGTTAATTGTTGGCTTCAATTGGTGTTCAAATGCAACAAAAAATATTTTTCATTTTTTTATGTTTGCCCATGTAAACATAAGAATGATTAAGAGGCAGTATTTTTAAAACTTTTCAACTGCTTAATAACAACTCTTTTTATGGATGTAATTGGCTTATATGACCTATTAACAAACATTCCGTCGTGCAGCAATTATTTTACTAAAACTCATTAATTTCCTATAGAACATAGAAAATATGTAATAAGCCATACTTATATTTGTTTTCGGGCAGCTTGTCTATTCAAATTCCAAGCTTATATCAATGTCAATACTGACATTTGTATGTAAGAGTTATTCCTTTTTAAAGGTGCAAAATAATTAAGCTTCACTGTTCATTTACAACTAAGGCAAGTATTTACCATGTTCATTAACTTGGCATTCTAATTGCAAATGGCAATAATGTCACAAATAGCTTTCACACTATCCAAATTTCCTTGCATTCCAAAGCCTGTGATGAAACTAACTTCAAACTTTAGAGCTTTATTGGTATTCACCTGCTCCTGCAGGAGAAGAGTCAGGCTCATCTCTTCTTCTATGCCTGCATTTTTCATCCAAATTAATTAAAAGGATTTTGTTTTAATGCATAGAGTTTGAACAAGGTGAGTGACAGATAGCTTGTCAAGTGAGAGCAGTGATGTAGTTCTAAAGATGATGATCCTGATCTTGATTTAATCTAAAAAATATGAATTGATTTGTAGAACTAAGACTATTATTACCTCACTGGCACTATCTGTGATTAAGGAGAAACGGATACGCAACAGACAATTTTCAGCTCTGTAATTTTAGAGATGATGCTACTATTACCTAACTTTTTTGTATGGTGACTCGTTCATTGAGAAATATCATGCAAATGTCTAAAAGGAAAAAGTAAAGGCTTCTCTGTCCAGTTGTGTCTAACTCTAGGATGTGATGCTCATCTCTGTTTCCTGGCTGAGGGATCCAGTGTTGTCCGAAGACAGTTTCCATGTGGCCAGCATTGCCATATGCCAAAGTGACATGGAACGCTGATATCTTCCCACTGAACTGGTACCTGTTAATTTACTCGCATTTGCATGCTTTCGAACTGCTAGGTGGGCAGGAACTGGGGCAAGATGGCAGCTCATCCTGTTGCATGGTGCTCACATCTCGAACCCAGGCTGTTGGCTTTCCAGCTGACAAGCTCAGTGTATTCAGTTGGGAAGCCATCATGTCCTCTGCAAACGTCTATGGGTATTGAATATACCTGCCACAGAAGGTACTATTATCATATGAAATCTCTTCCACATACATATACACAAATCTATTCCATATACACATACACACAGGCATATTCATGTTTATATATACAGATACTTTGGATGGCCATTTTTCCATTGAAGTATGCTATCCATAGTAAATATTATATGTCATGTCTGAAACTCTTTAATCACATTCAGGCATTTGTTATTTGTATGGTTGCAGTCCATGGCTGGGATACACTTGGCACTTTGCCACTGTCATTTTTTGTCCTTACATCTATGTCTCTTCTCCTTACCTTCAGCTGCAGTGCAAGGAAGGGCTGTGGGAGCATGATGTGGGGAACAATGGGATAACAAGGCACCTGCTCAACATGGACCTTTCCCTGCTCCCCATAATTAGATAAAAAAAATAAGGAAACAAGCTCTTCAGTTGACCAAGTGGGTGATTGTATTGTATAATGTAAACCAGGGGTCTCCAACCTTGGCAACTTTAAGACTTGTGGACTTCAACTCCCAAGTTCAACTTGTGGACTTCAATTCCTCGCTGGCTGAAGAATTCTGTGAGTTGAAGTCCACAAGTCTTAAAGTTGCCAAGGTTGGAGACCCCTGCTGTAAACTGATGACATTTTCATTATATGAAAAGGTGAGTATTTACTACTGTCTTACATCTTTCTTCATTGCTAATGTTATTCTGGCCTAAGGATATTTCCAGCAATATTTTGGAACAGCATTATATGTCCTCCTGAAATGCTATTCCTCAAAATGATATTACAATCTGTCAGAAGTCATTTTATCTAGCTACTTTGTCTTAATGAAATGGTTGGAAACCATTGTTTTCTTTTTAAGAAAGACTACTCATCTCATAAATGCATTTTTCTCACCGAGAAAAATATGAATCAAGAAACACTGTCATTAAGCTCTATTTAATTACTCTTATGACTCTTCAAATGCTTAGAACCCTGGGTAGGTCAGTTGAAGCTGTATACTGAGACATGCATTCTTTCATTAGTACGAGATTAAAAGTTGGGTCACAAAAGTTATATTTTGAATACTTTCACTGTGGCCAATTCAAAGGTCAATTTCCATGAGGGTATGCATGCTATCATTAAAAGGTTCTATGCTTTGGTGGCTCAGTGCCTAAGACGCTGAGCTTATCTATCAGAAAGGTCGGCAGTCTGGCGGTTCGAATCCCTAGTGCCATGTAACAGAGTCAGTTCCTGTTACTTGTCCCAGTTTCTGCCAACCTAGCAGTTCTAAAGCATGTAAAAATGCAAGTAGAAAAATAGGGACCACCTTTGGTGGGAAGGTAAGTGTTCCATACACCTTCGGAATTTAGTCATGCCGGCCACATGACCATAGAGACACCTTCAGACAGCGCTGGCTCTTCGGCTTTAAAACAGAGATGAACACTGCCCTCTAGAATCAGGAACTACCAGCATATATGTGTGAGGGGAACCTTTACATATATAAATTAAAGGCTTTTTAAAGGACATTAACAAAAAAAACCCTATTGAATTAGAAGAGTTCTAATATTGCTTACCAAGGGCCTAGGTAAGCATTTCAAGGATTGAAATATTTTTTTAAAAAAAATAATTATTCAATTTCTGTGACAGCCCAACTTAACCAAGTGATTCTGTGGTCTTCTCAATGCTGACATCATTTCTGACAACCCCAGCCAGCATCTTGGCCCCATCAAAGTGCTCCTTGCAGAAGATGCTGAACATGGGACTCTTCCAGAGTGATTGTAGATTTAGTGGCTGCTATCTGCATTTTTTATATGGGTTTGGGGGTTTATTTATTAATTCATATATAATTTATATTTACCATGGATATTTGATGTTATGTGAATTCATTAACTACCAGGAGTCCTAGTAGATTATGGAAGGTCAAATAATTGAATAAATAACTTCAAACAGAAGCAGGATAGGTTTATGAGATTCCTGCATTAAAGATTTTGAAGGGAAAAGTCCCTTTCCAGCATTTTGACTTAGATTCATTACCTTTCACCTGAACATCCAAATGATTAGCCAGTTCCTTGTCTGCTTAAAAATTAGTGATTCTAAATTACTAAAACCAAAATGTGACATAAATGCATTTGATGAAGGTTCCTTTAGTATTTTTCAAAGATATATATACATAAAGTAATTATGCTATCTGGAAATATTCCTCCTTGCCCAGAAAAATATAAAAATAGTTACCATTTATTTCATACTTGTCAAGTCAACACCATTAAATTCAATGGCATTATTCTGGAGTCAGCATAGGATTGCAGTCTATCTTGCCCAGATATTTTTAGCTTCAGCATTATCTACAGGCCTCAGGCAGAAGCTCTGAGTCATTGTTTGCTGGAAGTCATGTTTCAAAAGGACAGATTCAGCCTTTTGTCATTCTTTAGCAAACACAAATAAGTTGGGAGCATATTTTTTTTTGCCTAAGACTTGTTTTTATTTGGTATTACTTGCATACATTTGATGGTTTTAAAGGCGTAATTATCAAATACATTATTAACATAAGCAATTGTGTAATTAAAAATATTTTAAATTTTTCCTTTTTTTCTGGAAACACTTAAAAGGATTAGGGTTAATCATTTATTTTACCCTCTATGTTGTTTGGAAAATGAATGAGAGTAATGTGGTACGAAATCCTATACTTTTTTGTTGTTGATGCCTTCAAATCAATGTTGACTGTAGTGGTCTCATCGTGACAACTAGACTAATCCTTACGGTTTTCTTGGCAAGATTTTCAGAAGTGACTTGCCATTGCTTGCTTCCTTGGACTGAGAGTGAGCAAAGATCATCCAGCTGGTCAGTTAAGGTACAGCTAGGACTCAAAAGTCTCTTGGTTTCCAGCCTGGTGCTTCAACTACTATACCAAACTGGATCTCCATTTGTTTTTTAGTACAAGATAAATGTATGAGGCCATTTTTTTTTCTTGTGTTCTGTAGATCTTCTCACATATCCAACAAGGAGTAACGTTATGAAGAATCTGCAGGCTGATAGGGGCTTGTTTCAGAAAGGAAAAGAGAGAAACAAAATAAACAAGAAACATCATATGAATGCATCTTAAGTAACTATTTGATGTTAAACATTTCTAAATGGACAACAGGCAGCATAGGACCTTATCTTCTCTGAGCATGATCTTTCCTACTACTTTAATTGCACTGGGAAAAAGAATGGGGCTTTTGTTGAGCAGTCAGCAATAGAAATTGTAAACTAAATGCTGATGTTTCTTGAGAGTAAGGCATAAAAGCATAGGTTTCTTTTGCAGAAGACCACTTGTGAGAAAAATGTGGCAGTTTTTGGTCCCACAAGTTCGGAATTAAACAAACAGAAGCTACACTTTGGATTGATGGTTACCCACTCTTTAACTGTATGTTTTACCGCCCTAACTACAATTCACAGGATGGCTACTACAGGCATGAAATGGTTGATAGAGTATGTCAAGAAGAGGGATGTGTGTGGCTTACTAGATGTTGCTGTTCGGTAGTGGCCTTTCCATCAGCCTCCTTGAGTAAGATATGCTGGGCGTTAGCATTGCCCAGGAAAGGAGACAAGAGCAGCTGATTTAAGACACATGCTATGCTTAATGCTTAACATATAATGTGCCATTCAGATAAATATTTATACATTTCCTCCACAATATGAACCCATATTTGGTCATTGACAGAGGATTCCACCAGCTTTTACACTTACAGCATATACTCTAACTTCTATTGCTACTAATAAATTATGTTGTGACATGAAAATATGTCTGGCCTGGCAGAGAAATACTTGTGCCTTGCTATACCACTGTGGCATTTATGACCTTGTAGATTAAGTATGTTCTGTCTAAATATCGGAGCAAGGAGGGAGACATATGGCCCATCAGCGGAACAATATCCACCTGCTCCCACCATCAGGCTGAGTAGTAAGAAAAGCTAAAACATGTACTTCAACAAAGTACTTTTGAAAGACCTCACATTTTCAGACCTGCATAAATGTACCTGCATTGTACCCTTCCACGGTGAACCAAGCAACGTTGATCTTTAAGTGATATTCTTTATAGCATTATTTAGAAAAATGGGAAAAATGTAATGCTGGTATTACACAGTATTGTTCCCTGAGACAGCTGGAACTATCTGCATCATGGTGCAACATCGGTGAAATCCCTAGTTTCCAATAAAAGCCAAGTCGTTTGGGAGAAAATAGGATATGAGTGCTCAATTGTTGTATCACACAGTGACTCTCTTGGCAGCTTTCATCTTTAAATCAATCCATCAGTACGGCTTTTATTTTTAGACGCATGACTTAATTATAGTGACAAAAGACTTCTGGTTCATTGCCATTAAATTTCTATGGATATGACTCTTCAGTTGTCCAGTGTTTGGCATTCAAAGGCCAAAAGAGGCGTGCAGGATATGAACAAAGAGCATCTCTGCAGTTCCTAAAAAACAGCTATGCCTTTTTCCAGAAAAGAATCGTGTAGAGACTGTGAGATCCCCCCCAAAAAAGATATGTTGGTTTTAGGAACAGCAAACAGAAAGAGGTCCACTCCTGGATATTTGAACACTATTTTGCATTTCAGAAATGCTGCACAGCCCTAATAAGTAAACATTGTTGCATTAATCCATTGTGTCCCATTTAATATTTGGTAATTAATACTAAAAGGAAATGATTGTAAAATCCAGTTCATTAAGAAAATATAAATCACTCATCTCAGCTGCATGCAGATAGATGATGCCTTAGTGCAGGGCTCTCAAACTCCTGGCTCGTGCACTTAGCCATGCCCACACCCAGTTTAGCGAAGGGGAAAAAAGTCCTGATATGTCATGTGATGCCGTGACGCTGTGAGTTTGACATCCCTGCCTTAGTGGAAGAAGAAACTATCAAATAATTTTTGATTATTCAATTATTTTCCTCCCAGAATTGAACCATCACTGAAATATCTCTAACAGAACCAAAGGAATCTATTTGAACTTGCTCTTCATTTTCATGCAAGATCTTGCAACTGTATCTTGGGTGCAAGATCCAGTTGCTCTAGTCTTAAGACAAATTATTAAATCCAGAATAGGAGTCAATAGCAGTTCCTGCCAAAGTGAGATTCTTACACCCTGTTAATATAATACATGTTCAGCCAATGCAACTGTACATAGATTACAAAATTAATACTCATTAGAAAAGCCAATTTAGAAATGCCCTGTACAATCAACCTATATCCTCTTTTTTTAAAAAAATAAACCAACACTTAAGGAAGTGGGAATGGACATTAAAACCGTATTGTCACACATTCTGACACTTGGAATGGCTGTTACAGGATCTGATTTGATCCAGAATTAGCTTGATCCTTCTAGGACTCAAGCTAATTCATGACTTGAAGGACACTTGTGCAAAATATCTTTGGATCAACCAGCATGTTTTTAAGTATTGTCTTGATTTTGGATTTTCCAGACCATGATGAAATCTAGTTCCCCTTTAATTTCTCTTAGCGCTTCAAAACGGCTTACTATGAAATGAAAATGTGTGCAAGATCCAGCTGCTCTGCTCTCAGACAAATTATTAAGAAATCCAGAATAGGCTTCAATAGTGGTTCCTGTCAAAGTGAGATTCTTATGCCCTGCCAAAGATAAGAGCTGAACTGCTTTAATGCATATTCAGCCAATGCAGCTGTACATGAATTACAACATTAATACTCATTATAAATAGAAAAGCCAATTTAGAAATGCCACGTACAATCAATCTTCACCTTGTTTTTTTTAAAAATAAATCAACATTAAGGAAGTGGGAATGGAAATGAAAACAGTATTGTCACAAATTCTGACATTTGGAATAGCTGCTACAGGATCTAAAAAGATATAGGTATTGATTGCTGCAGAGCTAATATAGATCCTTTAAATGTTACTTCTGACACCACAAAATAGAACATAAATCTTATGACATTGAAGACATTACAGCAATTTATGGACCGATTAGCAGGAATGAATATTTTACAAAATATGAATTACATAATTAAAGAAACTGTGTGAATTAGGCTTTGTCCAACTTTAATATGTAGAGTAATGCCTAAGCTAAATTGAATCTGCTGAATATCACTTTTTTTGAATGGAGATCTATAAAAACGGAGGTGTTTTTTCTACTGGAAATTTTCTAACATGTTAAGATTGTTGTCAGCAACCAGAATAATGATAGAGAATGCATGCTGTTTATATGTCAATAACAATCTTTCAATACATGCTGGGAAATTTCCATTTGAAAATCTAAAGCTATCATCATGTCAGAATTCAGGCAGGCACATATATAACTCACACCATCCCACTTTAGAGTTTTTTAAAAAAATTGTACCATTTGTTCTACTCCACTATCATTCAAGACCAGAGTGAAAAAAATATAGAAAGTGTTTAAAGAGCCTCCTCCTAAAAAACTGATGATGGGGTGAGGAAATTGTGATTAGATTAAATGGAACTTAATGCACTGCAAATTGCAGTTGGGAATACCTAGATCCAGACAAAAGCTACAACTAAGATTGGTATTTGTGATACTATTTTGAATATTTAAATGAAATGTTTGTACCGATATCGATGGGCATCATATTGTCCTGTGCAATACATTATTAAAGCTCTGCAGTGCTTCGGATTTGATTCCAAAATGGTGATTTGGAATATATGGAAATACAAAGCTATTGTGTGTTGCAGCTCTTTAAAGCAGCTGCCTCTTTTCCTAGGATCATGGGGCAAGAGATACCAGGAAAAATAGGATCCCAAAAAAAGAGGCAACTGCTTTAAATTGCAGACAGTGTTATGCTATGCATAGAGCTTCTACTTTTGTACTTAACACACTCAGAAGTACGCACTCTAAAATCAAATTTAAAGTTAATAGAGCTTTAATGATCACATTGCATCATACCTTATACTTACTATAATGGCACTGAATCATCTTGTTCTGCTGATTGATATTGGTTGACTCACAGCGCAGTACAACATTGATCTGTTGGCAATGGTTGATCAAATTAAGCTATTAAATATGACTGACAGTCATTTGGATAGCAGGTTTCATGATGATGCTGAAATAAGCATTTTAGGATTAACTAATCAATCTTAACTGGCAAAAGCTATTGTAAAAGCAATCCATTGGCATTAAACAAAATTATATCCAAAATCATCTCATTATGGATCAATATTTGGTTATTATTATGTGGAAATTATAAATATTTTAAACTGTTGGGCAATTATGGTATACAAAAGCAATGTATTTGCTTTTATTCTCAGGGGTGATTGAGCTGGCAAAGAAATCCTTCCCATAATTAGATTAAGGTATTTTATACTCAATTTTACAATATATTGAGCCGGTCCATAAAGAAATGAGTATTTTCCATAGTTTTAAGAAACATTTACCTTAATTTTCAGATTCTTCAATAGTGAAACAGGAAAAATACTTAAAATATGATTGGGCTATAAAAACCAGAACAGGTTCAACAGAACACCTTCAATAGATTGAAGGTGGCAGGTGCAGAACATTTTATTTAATGCTGTCTATTGGTCCATTTAGATTTTTAAAAGTTCAGTTATAGGATCCGTAATGCATAAAATAGGATTTCCCACTTATATTAAAAAGATTTTACTTTGGTTCTATGACTTAGTAAATACTTAAGGATATATTCTGTTCCACCATGAAGGTTAAGAAAATCCCTAATTCTTATACTGAAAACAAAATTTGGCTTCTTTTGTAAGCATTTAGCAGAAAAATTCAATGCTACCTAAGTATGTTTTGTCATTGTAAACATATTTTATTTCATTTAAAAATGATTATTAATGGTGTTAATTGATACATGTGCAATAATACTCGTACTCATTATTTGAATTTAGGAAACTGGTTGCTCAGCTGGCCACAGTGCTACCCCTTTTTCCTTCTGATAATCCTATTACAGAAATAAAAACAGTGCAGATTTTTACCTGCCATCTTTTCCCTAGTATTCAGCTGCTAATCCTTTGAAAACAGTGTTCCGTACTAACAAAACATCAAGAGAGAGATGCATTTTGCTGGCTTGAAAACCACCTTTATCTAAAGATGGGGACAGGGTGCGCAGGTATGCCATAGCAAAAACAGATAGAAAGAAAATGGGCAAATAGAGTTTTAAAAAATCAGTAAAGTGCACAATTATTGTCAAACATTCTATTCCTGTTATTTCATTGAATTTACTGAACAGTCATTGTGGACTACAATTTGGCTTGAAAAGAAAAGAGGCTTACAATGCAAACACCTGGTAGGTGCTACTCCTGAAGACTTTTGTAAGAATTGACCAATGCAATTCAAGGATAACCTACTTCGGCTCTTTGGATGTTGGCCCGTTTCCCAGATCCACAAGGGGCAGAAGGATTACAAGTTGTTTAGATGTTTGTCTCCAACTTATTTGAACCTTTAAATGCCAATGTTTTCCAGATCTGCATCTTCCAGGCCAACAATGGCATCTGATCTTGAGATCATGAAAAGTTTCTCTTTATTTGTATACTGCCTCTGAATTTTCAAAGGCTGCTGCTCTGTTTGTTCCTTGCTGGTGCTCTGTGAGGAGCCAATTTCCTCACTGGAGCTAACTTCACAGTCTTCAGGTGCTTTATGGGCAGGGGTATTGGCAACAGACTCCAAGGAGGTGCCCGACTCCTCCAGTGGAGTGTAGCCCTTATTGCTTCGGTACTGATCACACTGAGTGCTCTGGGAACCTTTCTGATCCACAGATGGTGTAGGCAGATGAGAATCCCCCAAATCGAGGGATCTGGAGTAGCTGGAAGATGAAGCTTTAGCTAAAAGACTGGAATCAAGGTCAGTGCTACTACCCAGTGTCTGAGAGGGCTCAGGGAACAGGGATCTCCTGGAATCAGGGAGGCAGCTTGTGCTCTGGCGTCGAAGCACTACTTTACGCTTGTTCATCCTGGGCAACACTGTCAATTCCTGTGCTGTGTCTAGGTAGCTGCTCCTGAGATCTTTTAGACTAAGTTCAAATTCTCCCCGAGGAATTTCTTGGCCATCCCGTTCACCCAGCAGCCTCTGCCAGTCACCATAGTCTCTATCAGCCGTTTCCCCCTGAGCCAGTGGTAGCAATGTGAAGGTGCTCAGTGAGGAGCCCACGATGGAACTGGCAGTGCTGTGTTGGTCCCAACTATCTGTGGGGGTACAAGATGGGTTACGGACACTTTGGGCCAAGGCAGCTCTTTCTTTATAGATGCTATAAACGGCGTCAGCCAAGCTGGGTATTTGCTCTTGTCTAGAAGTGGGGAAGCAGCGAGGTGAGGAAGCCAAGTCAGGAGGGGAGAGGGGTGCACTCACAGATGGGTGCCAGGTATTCTTGGTAAGCGTGGCAGTGGCTCCTAAGGTTTCTCCTCCCGAGCTGCTGCCAGGTTTCAAGTCCAGCCCACGAGACTGCACACAGTTAACAAAGCCATTTATTGGGACCGAGGCCACAGCAGAGGGAGCCCCATCCTTTGGCCGAAGGCTGTGTGCATCTATGACAGTGGAGTACAGGTCCCTCAGATTGATAACCTTAGTCTTCTTGTCACGATTCTCATGCAGCACTGCATTGGCACAAATGAAGAGGAAGATGCCAATACCCATGATGAGGGGCCCAAGCACTTTGAGCTTGTCTGAATGCAAATATCTAGAGAAAAAATGGAAAAGCAAATTTTTTGAGCTGGAGGGTGATGACGGGGCAGGCAGAGGAGAAAGTGCTTTCTGGTTGCCAGAGAAAGAAGAATTGGTGACTTCTAGGTAAGATTCTCTGGTTTCTTGTGTGTAGTTCTTGGTGTGGCTTTCAGGGACATTACCATATGATTTCAATAATGGGCTGCGGCCAAGGCCCCCTGTCCTATAAAGGGGTTTGGGCCAGTAGCCAACCACAGCCAAGGCAATCCCCACAAGCAGCACTAGAATGCCACAGACAGCAATGAGGCCAGAGAGGGAGCAGATTTTGAGCTTGCCCTTCACCACTACCACATCATTCTTGAGTTTTTTTTTTGCTTTGCGCTTGTGTTTGGAGACTTGGCCCTGAGGCCGTAAGGGATCCTGTTTTCTGGCTGAGATCCTCAAGAGGCCTCCAGTGGCGATCATGGCTGGCTATCCAGGAGAAGGTTCCCTACAGCAGCATCGGCTCCTGTGGCAAAATAGAGTAAAAGAACGTAAGAGCAATGATCTCTTTTAAAATAATATTCTTAAATCTGCTCAGTCACTACTGACTAATCAGCCTCATGTAAGCCCTATGATGCAACATGAGATACTAATAGACAAGAGGAGGAGAATCCTTTACAATAACTTATCAGTTTTATTATCACCAAGCTGACCGCATGGTCTTAACTATGTTGCCTGTGGATCACGATCATGATTGTGATCATCTACTGATACAGTAGGTCAACCGAGAAGGACTATAAGCTTCCATTTCTTTTTGTTTACAATAGCTTAGCATCAGATGAACATTTTCTTCTGTGGATATGAATTCCAGTAAATCAAGGCTTATAATTTGTTCTGGAGGGAACAAGCTAAAATATACACAAAAGAAGATGCAGATTCTGATAGTTTGGGTTTTTACTGTTTTGCATAGAGGTCCATACGTGCTTTACTACTGCATAATAACAACTTTGCACACCTCTAGCACTCCGGAACCTGATTATGTTCTATCTATAGATTATATTAGCTCTAAAGAACTTTTCTATCAAAATAGCTATGCTTCTGTAGCCTTTAATACCTCTGTATTCTTCATTTAAAAAAATATTTAAATTTTATAGTACAATAGAAATGGAAGAAAAAGGGGAAAATAAAAAAAAAGAAAAAATTATAAAAATAAAACAGAATTTTCAATTCTGCTCTTCCCTCAATTGAATAATCACCATCTTACTCTTCCCCCCCCTTCTTTAGCCCTTTCTAATGCCCCAAATCCATAAATCATTGGCCAAGTCTTTTCTTCTTTCAATAAAGGCTTCCAGTCTTTTAAAAAGTCTTTATTGTCTCTCTCCTCCCCCTTCCCCAAACAGATTAGCTTTGCAATTTCTGCAAGCTCTGTCCATTTTATAATCCAATCCTCTAATGTAATCACTATATTCCTCAGGTAGGACTGCCTTCAAAGATTGTTCACAAGACAGCAACTATGTAGAAAGTGCTGAAACCAATAAACTGTTGTGGCTTAGTGAGTGGAAAACAACATCCATATCAACTTAATTTCTCAGCCCAATTAAAATGCTGCTATTGATTTTTGAAGACTAAAGGATTGCCTCTTTCATATTGCTACATCAAACCCTTAAATCAGCTCCAGTGGTCTTACTGTGAGGTCTACCTCTACTGACTGCTTGATTTATAGGGATCCGATAAAGACTTTTATTGGTAACTCTTTTATTGATAGACCTTTTATTGGTAACCAGGCACAATCTTTTCTTCATGAAACTTGACAACTACCTTAGTCAAGAAGAACATTGTTTATAGATGGAGTTTATTTTATTGTTCTATAATTATGTTTTGGTATCAGTTTTATGTATTCAGGTCTATAGTATTATTTGGCTCATTTTTCTTTTGAGGGCTTAATGAATTAAATGCTATCTTAGTCACGTAGACAGACAGCATACAAGTAACATGAATTACATTGCTAAATAAATTTTTCTAGGATCAGGGTTTTTCCCTCCAGAAATTAATGCATGACACCCAATTTTACATCTGTCATGTGTACATCCCCAAACCTCAAAATATGTTCATTTCTCAACATTTCATATTTATTGATAATCCCATCTGCTTCTCTTTCCTTTTGGTCACCATGTAACAATTCTACCTTAATATTTCCTATTATGCTATTTAGGTATACTAATGATGAAAAAGTACTGCATATTCACACCTCAACTTTTAATGAAACTTCATTTTAATTATATGCACTATCTCTTTAACTTGCAATGGAACTGCATCTTAAGGAACATTTCTTCTTAAAAAAAAACACACTTGGGAAAATGAAACTTCATTTTGTGTGAAAGCACTAAGTGACAATATTCTTGTTCATACTTGTTTCTGATTAAAGTTCAAAGGGATTCTGTTGTGGAAATTATTAGTGACTAAATGCTTTCACAAATCCAAAGTTTCATCAGAACTCCGAAATTTTTTATTATGAGCAAGTCAGTAGCAAAAAATATCTAGTTATAGATGCTCTTAGTAATGATGTCCCTATCTGAATGCCAGGCCTTAAGTTGCATAAGTACAGGAAGGAGCATGCTCTCTTTGTTAGCTCCAAAGATGGGTAACTTTTTCAAGATTTCACCATGTTTACTATGGCTTTGGGCTAAATAAAAGCAGGTGGAGATGATGTATCATACTTCATATAATCTGAAAAACTAAAGCCATTTGTACTTCAGTGAATGCAATAATGTATATGTATGTTGACATATACATATAGGGGAATGAATGCTACTCCTGTTTAGACAATATTAGACTATTCTTGGAGGTTACAAGTAGTAAATTTGACTATTTGAGTAGCATATGAGTAATTCAAACTACTGAAACAATGCATTTTATGCAAAGGAGGTAAACATAATGTAGAAGGATGTAATTGGCATGGATGGTTGTAGAGGTACGTTAATTTCACAGCTTTATTCTAAACTGTAGCTCATATTTTTTCCATGCTGCATACAAATTTTCTTTTGTATATCTATTCTTAAGTGAAACTGGAACATTCAAATTCTTTAAGGGTCCTCTACTGTAAATATAAGTCTATCTGTTTCATAGAATATCTAGACTGACTTCTGCTCAATCTTTCTGGTATGGGTACTTGGAAACTTCCTTAACTCTGTCTCAAATCTTCACAACTGGATGTATGTTACAAACTGGTCTGGAGACCATATGTTTCTACTTCCTAGGGTTTTCGTTTTTTAAAAAGGCTATGGTAGCATTTATTGAGAACAAAGAATCTTGAGATATCATCTTTTGACCCCAAATTTTATTGGGTTGCTTTGTGTTGGTTTTATTTTTTGCTACAGACACCATTTTACTTCTGTTCTGCCAAAGATCCCACGAGGGATAAAAATTGTGGTCCAGCCTGATGTAGGCAAAAGGAGGGAAAAGATTTAGTTTGTTTAAATGATTGTCATTCCCTGTTTGAACATTAAAGGAATGAAAAAGGAAATCTGCCAAGTTAAATATTTCCTGACCTGATAACTATGAAAGGATTAAGGCACAAACAATGTTGCAATGCATGTATTCAAATCCCCACTGCAATATTATGTGGAACTGTTATCCCAGCACATCATAAGAGAGATAAAACTAGAAAGTCAGAAAAACAACAAAACAAGGAGCTTTTAGTTTCATAAAATAAACTAATTAAGGAAAACCAGGTAGACAAAATTATGTCTGCTGAAAAGTAGTGCATAAGGGGGAAAAAACCTTTCTCTTTTTATAATACTATAATGTATGACCACCTAATGTATCTCAATACTGTGGAGTAACTGGTCTATTTGAATTATTTATCACAAGGTAAAGAATTGTCACCAATGTGTGTAAATGAAAATGAAAGGGTATCAAATATATTTAGGGAAGGTATATTAATATTCAGTACTAGAAAAAGTATGCCTCCAAATACCAACTGGCACGGCACACAAACTTAGAGATGCATTCGTGTTCATCTTTACTTGCATAATTTCCAGAGATAACTCACCCTGTTAGAACAGAATGTTGATTTAGATGGGCTTTTGATTAATTCATCAGCAACCTATATTTGCATGCATGGACATCAGGAGTGAAAACAGAATAACATAGTGATGATTTCTTCTACCCTTCCTTTCATTAACTGCTCACATTAGAGAGTCATGAAGTAAAATTTAACATTCCTACATGCATAAACGTGATGCATGGATGGAAAAGAGCATGATACTTTTGAATTAGCAACTGAGGGTAAAATATGAAAGAACTGTGGGAAGGTCAACCAATTAAAGATTAATTTCAACTATTCTATAAAAATACGTCAAATCAACTTTATATCTGCCAATTGCAATTTTATATCATCCCTTTAAAGTTCTTTATGTTGCAGTTTTGGCTTTTTTCTATATCAAAATAACCAGTATTTAAACATTTGGCATTGTCTTAAAAGGATAAAAAAAGCTTGATGAAGCCTTCACACCTTGTGCATTTAATATTTCCTGTTCTTTTGCTATGAATATGTACCTTTCTATGGACATTAGATCAACTAATAAGCCGTTTCCTGGTTTCAGGCTATTGTTTTTGAATGAGGCCAAAAGCTTAGATTGCACAATAAGCTTAGTAATGGCCATCTATCTTGTAAAGAAAAAGGAATTAAATTAGAAAATGTTGGAAATGAAACTGGTGTGTATTGGGTCATTAGCATTATGTATATTATATACTGTCTTGAACAATATAGAGGTTTTATTTAAGTTAGACTTTCTGTATTACTGTTGTTATACTAAAGATATAGTCAGATTTTAATATCAAAAGTTTGTTTTAAGCAAGTCATATTAATCTTTATTTTCTATATAACAGAATTTTTTTAAGTTTAGGGGATGAATATATTCTCTGGACATATGCCTGATTTGGAATCACGTACGATGTTCAAGGTAACTGGTTATGTAACATCAGTGAATTTGCAGTCTATCGATGAAAGAATGCAGTGGCAATAGAGATGTACAATACTAAACCTTGTTTTTTTTTTAAAGAAAAGACACTATTTTGAATAACCCAGGGAACAAAAAGCTCTCTGTTGAAAAGCAGTTTGAAATAATATGCAAGATTTTGTTTATATCACTGCACGAGGTTTTATAATCAGTTATTCAGACAACTGAATTCTGCAGTTCTTCAGAAACTGTTCAGTTGCCTGAAAATATTAATTAAGGGTCATATCCTTGCTTTTCCCAGAGTAAATGAAATACATTATAAGAATGAACGGTAACAGCATTCATTTCAACATGTCGCATAAAGTTAAATCTTTTGCCTTGAAAACAAAAAAGAAATCTGCATCCTAGGTAAGCTTATTTTCTTCATCAGCTAAATCGCCACATTACCTGAAAACCCCCAGATTCAACAATGTTAAATTAAATGCTATGCCCCCCACTCCAAAGAAAAATACTGATTCTGACAATATACCTCAAGTAATTCAGCAATCAATATGATCTCTTGCTTCCTCTTCTATTGCATTTTAAAATAAGATTTGATTTCACACACACAGAACCCAAAGATTCAGCTTTTAATGGGGGGGGGGCACCACTCTAGAATACATATAGGCAGAATCAATGTTAACTAATATGGAAAGTAAAAGAGTCAGAGGTAGAATTCCTCAAAGGAAGCCCACCTACTGACTGTTCATTAATATCATGTGACGAAATACTCTTGATTCTAGATGGACCCGAGTCTTGGGGAACATGCACAGAGATATATCAAAGTAAGCTACATCAACGAATCAGTATACCATTACCCCTGCTACATAACCAAAGCAATTCCAGATGGTTGTTTATTGCCGTTTTCCAGGATTTCAGCAGCGTTTCAAGTCTAAAAGGTCTACAAGAGTACATGCATGCTAGAAGCCCACTCCCGGCTACTTTTCTTTGCCTTTCCCAATGGATGAATGAGTAGAAAACAAAACTAAACCGGGGGGTCGGGGGGTGGGTTGGGTGCGAAGCAACCTTCCAAGTCCGTCTGGATATAATTTAATGCAGCCTTCCCAAAAGAGCAGCTTGTTCTTGGGAGAGAGTTTCCTGGCTGCTGCAAGTCGAAACGTCCCTGCAGGGACAGAGCCTAATAAAACATTATGGCTGTCATACCTGCTGCTCTGCTGTCCTACATAATGTAATTAGCCAAGTGGCCTGTGCCTCTGGAGGGCAATCTGCGAAAGATGGAGCTAAGAGGATTCCCGTCATGACGGACAGCCTGGGGGGGTTAAAAGGTGGCCGTGCGGAAGACCGGTTTCCGCTTTCGCCGTGGGGTCGGTTAAAAGGGAGACCGGCGTCTCGTCCCGAGTTCCCAGAACAAAACTTCCCGCCGAAGAGAGACATCCATTTACAGGCACTTTTCCATCTGCCAGGCGCCCATTAACCGGAGGTCGTCTCAACTCGTCAGTCCCTCAATTTAGAAGCTCCCGGAGGCGATTTCTCTACGGTGCCATTTCCCCTTTTGGTGCCCCCAAAGAAGAGAGAAGCCGCCGCCAGAGCCACCCATCATGGTGGTCCAGGCGGGATGGACTCCCAGCCCCGCTTATGTGGCGGACCGGGAGGCGAGGGATGGGGAGTGGGTGGGGGGAAGCTGCAGAATCCCCGGGTGAGTTTCTGGTTCAAAATGGCAGCATTTAGCAAACGCAGAAGCTCCGTCTGGTCTCTTACCGGGGAAAATCGGGGGGTGGGGGGTGAGGTCAGAACTGCAGGCAAGTTCCTCGGAACCCAGAGAGAAATCCGGGAGAAACTTTGCAGCCGGGCAGGTGGGCGCCGAAGACCCCGCGGCCCCTCCAGCCCGCCCCCCGTCGACTCGGAGCCATCCCCGTCAGAGCAGCGAGGCTCTCCCTCGCCTCAGGCTCGCCGCATCCGGGGCCGCCGGGCGCGGCGAGCAGATGGAGTTTCTGCAAAGTGCGTCGCCCGCCGCTCCAGCCCGCATCCTGCCTGGCGCTCCGGATTTCGGGGTCGCCCCTCCGCTCCTCCCCTCTCCCTCCGCCTTCCCCGAGGCTTTTGTGAGGGGTTGCGGTTGCGGCCGCCGCTCGACGCGGACGGCGTCTCCTGCCCCGCGGAGCTGCTGCTGCTGCTGCTTCCAGGCTGCTGCGACTCTTGCTCCTGAATGGCTCAGTGTGAAAGCGGCTGCTGTTGCTGCTGCCGGCCCGACTCGTTGCAGTTGCTAGGATACCGGAGCCATGACACAGGGAAATTGCTGCAGGATGGCAATCATTATACCTTCCAAACTCTCGTGTGTCACCCCCTTTTCCTTTAGGAGGGACCACTGCCTCGCTCCCTCCTCTCCCCCCTGTTGCTACCACCTTATCTTCTCCCAGGGCACCTGCGAGCGAAGTGGCGGGCTCGTCCCTCTCCGGAGCAGGCAAGCCGCGGGAACAAACTCTTGCAGCGAGCAAAGCCCTTTGATTTCGCTTCCATACGTCCGACGGCCGGTCGTTTGAACGAACGAGAATCCCCCCCCCCGGTTATTTTTAGAGATTACTCTGGCGTCGTTGGATGGGCCGGGAGGAAGCCAAATTGTCAATGCGCGAGGGGGGGGGGGGAAGCTATCGCTTTCTTGACATATTCCTTCGCTTCCCTTTGCTTTGTGCCACCTCCCCCGCAGCTGCTTAGCCTGCAAAATTCAGGAAAACTTAACGCACGCTCTGCACTAGTTTTCATTGAAGGCAAGTGGCTCAGCTCCAAAGTGAGTATGCTGTGATCTGCATTTTTTTAATTTCTTTTCACTCTTCGTTTGGATTTTGCACTCCGCCTGCTTGAGGGACTCCTTTTCAAAACTGATTAGTCGAGTTCTTTTTTTAAAAAAACCCAATACTTCTTAACTTGATCTGTGTATTGTCCTGCGTCCCAGTTTGGCACATTCCAATTGCACATTCCAATTGCAATTGATTAGATTGTTTGTTTTTGACTGCCCCTGCTTTCAACTGGCTTGAATAAATAATTGTGAAAATTAATTGTCTGAATCCTGTGGGTGATTTAGTATAACTCCTAAATAATTGAATACATGGATGGTTTTATTTTGTAGGTGAACAGACTTTTCTGAAGAAACAATTGGTTTTTATTTTCTTCCAAAACATTATTTCCTGCTATGCTTTAGTTTGTACTCTACATACTGTACAGTTTTAAGTGAAAATCTGCACATCTTCCAAAGTTTATAATTATATGCTACATAAGACTAATACAGTTATTATGACAATTTTGTGAAGTAATCCAAGCCATCCGAATGATGTAGATATCTCCAGGTCTCAAGACTTCACATCTTGCTGGTGTTTCAAAGACCTGCTTCTTTTCCTGGCCTTTTGTGGAGGTAGCTGAAGCCTCTTTAAACAGGTTTGTTTTCTTCTGTTTCCACACTGCTCATTATTTTGCCACCTCTACCTTCTTTCAAATTTCATACTGTTTTTATTGTCATGTTTCATGTTTTACTTCATTTGTAAACTACCCATCGGAAATAAGACAGCATATAAATTTAATAATAAAGTGTATGAAATGAAGTGGACTCTTAAACTATACCAAATCTCGGAGACTTAATTGGCTATCCTTCTTAATTTAGGCTGCAGTTCTGAACACATTTTGCTATTTCATCCAGGTAAACATCCAGTGCTGCATAGGTCTTAGTTTACCTATTCTAGCAAGAGTTTTATCTGACATAAATCTCTTTACGTCAGATAAATCTGACATACAGTACTATTTTTTTCTTTCTCCTCAACATAATAGTTTATGCACAACTAAAGAAGGCTCTTTTAGTTTCTAATATGTTTCTTTGGGCTTTTTGAAATCAATTTTTTTTGAGGTTTCTGAATTTCCTTACCTTTTCTAACATTTCAGCCTGTAAATGTAACCCTCTAAGACTAAATGACCAGATTAGCCTCATGATAGGTTCTGTTTTTACCCTTTTCAGTTCTGATGGACAGATGTGTTGCAGATTGAGAACTACAGTACACAGTAACCTGATGCAAATAAATCCTGCCTTTTTCCAGCTTTTCAGAGCTTTTCCAAGAGCACTCGGACTGTAAGCAGTCATTATCACACAGAGCAAGCTACTCAGAAGAGAGGCAAAGGGCTTTTGAGCTGCACCTGCTACAGAGAACATTGGTGTAAGGGCTTGTGCTGCTGTTACAGTATTACAAGATGCAAAACAGAGGGAGGAGGAATGTGCGTGTTTTTGCAAAGGAGAAATTCAGTTGAATGTTGGATACAGGGAGGTCTGTTTTTTTAAATAGTGCACAGTACGCTAATGAAAATCCAGGGGGTAGAATGACCATCCATCCATCCAATTCTTTAGTTCATAGCTATTTTATTTGAAATTTGTAAACATTCAGGGAATAAACTACATGCTCTCTTGAACTACATTTAGGATTGTGGCTTGCCATTGAAGATAACAGGCTCATCTGATTTACATAAGCCATTCGATTTCAATTATGTAATTTATATTTATTGTAGCTATTATAATTATTGTAATTATAATGTATTTACATTGGCGAAATAGATACCTAGGAGAATGTTAGGCTAAGAAATCCAATTGAACTGCCTTGCTTTTAAGGAAGTAGAGTACTCTCTTTTCTCCATCCTTATTAATTATTACCAATTAGCTACAAGCCTATTGAATAATATAGTAATCAGTAATATGTAGACAGATTTAATTATTTATGCAATGCTGTAGATTGTCCTAAAGAAAGAATACAGCAGCCTATTTTTTAAAGTTTACTTTTGAGCATTCTAAGGCAAATATTAAATAAAATGCATTTAGTTCTTCAACCTTACCCCCGCCCTCACCCCAAACACCCTAGAACCGTGATGGCAAACCTATTGCACATGTGCTGGAAGTGGTACACAGAGCCATATTGTCAAGCCGGCCTCCCTCAGCAGCCAAGAAAGAAACCACTTAACTGCATTTTGCAGAATTAAGAGTACTTTTACTGGTTATGAAAAGATAGCAGCTAAGCAAAGCAAGGTCTGAGGCAAAAGCACGCAAAATCATACATATCAATGTTTCTCCAACCCCCTCCCCCCGGTAACCCCCACCCCATTGTCCAATCTGCAAATCCTTCAGGTGTCATGTGGGTNGGCAATATGCTGACTCTCTGTAAACCGCTTAGAGAGGGCTGAAAGCCCTATGAAGCGGTATATAAGTCTACTGCTATTGCTATTGCTATTGGTAATGCTGTTACCTTCCCACCAAAGTGGTAGCTACTAATCTACTCGCATTTGCATGCTTTCAAACTACTGGGTGGACATTTATTTACATAGTCTTGAATTAGCTGTTCTGCTCTCTAACATTCTGAATTACAAACACAAAAACAATAGTCGTTTCCCCAAATGATACCTTGATCATTTCAAGGTATCTTCAGTCATTTCTGTATAAATAATACACTGAACAGCATTTATATCCCACTTTTGTGCGGTTTTGAGCAAGTTGATAAAAGCAACAAAACATACATTACAAAATACGCCTTATGTGCATCTCCTGAAAGTCGCAACTGCCAGCCCCAAGAGCTTAGCCAAAATTTGTTCACCAAGCTGTAATCTTAATGTGAACAAAAGGGGAAAATGATTAATTATCCAGGAAGTAATTATATTAACTGCATTAATTTAACTTAAAATTGAATTCAGTTTGATTCAGTTTTTAATTAATGTTAATCACATTTCATTTTTGTCCTAGCCACATTTATTCATTCAGTTTGAGAAGAGCAGCTGAAAGTCAAAATGGTGAAAAAGAATGAGTAAATAGTGTGGACAAGACTGTACCTATATATTCTGCAAGGCCCCTCTGGCTTGACAATGTATTTTCCTGTGATTTACAGAATACTTTGTCTCCCTTGGAGATGAACCAAGGCTTACAATACATAAAGCAGGAGACTTTTATTTCTATCCCAATGATAATTTACAAATACTGTTATTTTTCCCATTGAAAAGGCTAATTTTTATTTATATGGCTAAAAGTATCTATATAGTAAAAGTAAATGTTAGGAATTATTTTTTTCTTTCCATATTATTACAACAACAGTATTCTGGTCTCACAATTTTCTCTATGGATTATTTTTGAATTATATAGCTACAAATTTGTAGTTATATAATTCCTAATCTGTAAGATCTTTGTGTACATTTTCTCCTAAACTACATGTGGTTTGAAGGACAAATGCAATTAAATCGTATATTTTAACAAACGTATTTCATTAATGCAGACTTAAACTATAAAGACTATCATGACATAGTTCTTTATAAAAATGTAAGTGCCATTATTTATACGTCACTTTAGAAGAGGACTTTGCCAGACTTTATTTTTATAGAAGGATGAATGCAAGATTAGCTTGAAGCTAGCATTTGTCTTGCAAAAAAACATCCAATTTCTCCTGTCAGCAGAGGTCACGGTGCTGTTTAAATTCCCAATGTACATTGTACATGCAGGGTTACAATTAGAATACTCTTCATGATCACAGTTTTCTAGGAAATTAAAATAGAACCACTGACAACCAAACTAATGTTGTTTTGCTACTTTATTTACTGAATGATTTTTAAAAAAAATATAATTTGCAATGGTGGTTTGGTTTATTTGAGATCTCATAAAAAATTAACTATGGTTCTAAGTTCGGATTTTTCACTGACTTGCACAATACTTTATCAGGAACTTGGAACATTATGCTAAAGTGGATGTTTGAACAACTCATAAATTTATCTTTTTGTAATGAGAGAAGATGACAGTCATGCACGAGTGCCAGATGCTAGACAATTCATATCCTGCTGAAGTTAAACAAATATATATATAACTCATCTTTAGAATGCACAACTGAAGTGTAACAATGAATACTCAATTCACATTTGCAGCCATTTTCTATGCATCCCTGAGACATCTGGCTCATCGAAAAACTTGCAAGTAAACATATCAGATACTTACCATTAAAAAATTAAGTGGTTCTAGTTTAAAAACTGTTTTCAGTTGCAAAGGCAGCAATACTTTTTAAAGGGCCTAAAACACCGGTTTAAATAAGGTGACCAGATTTTCAGATTGGTAAAGAGGGACACCTTTGACGGGGGGGGGG